ACGACAAGACATCATTACACTACATTAGAATTAAATAACTAGACCTCGTTGTACACAAATGTGTATTACTTGAAATCGTTATTCAGCAATTATCAATTATTTTGAATCGTACAAATTTACATCAATAATAATGAATGCGTATAATGCCCTGAAACCTAATACTACCTACTAATAATGTATACATAATATTATTTTAACAATCTACCTCATACACAACTAATTATGTATTATAGGTATACAGATAAATGTATAAGTTAGAGGCCGTGGATAATAAATGTAATATACCATGTAATACTAATTTATATTCCCTATACCGAGATGTGCATTTGGTAAAAAGTCAGACTTCCTTATGAAATGCACCCTTCTAAGAGGAGATCGTGGCACAATTGATAGCAACAAAAGTAACTAGCTATTTAGATAGAAATATATTTGTAGGTGCAGTAATGATACTTATAACGATTTGTTTTGTGTACCTAAATGAAATAAAATTCTCCCTCGCTCTCTCTCCCAAACCAAATTTTCAAAAACGCATAAGTATATTGTGGTAATGCGAAGTTTCGTTAATCGTTTTTAAGAATTTTCCATGATTTTTGACTAATTAATAACGAAATATAGTAAAAAAAACGTGTCACTTAAAAGGCTCTTAATAAAGCCCGTTCTCCGAAGAGCGTGGCAAGAAATTGGTAAATATTTTAATCATTTTGTACCTAAGACTTACTTAAGACTTGTTTCATGATTGGTGAATCAGACAAGCAGTTACAATGTTTGATAGTATTTCTTTAGACCATCGAAGCGGGCGCTTGATATTGTTACTGTACTTTTGTTACCTAACATATTTTAATGTCAATATCCTACATCAGTACACACGAGTAGAGTGGGATGCATGCTGCACATCAACGGTTATACAATACGTACATAGAAAAATGTAATACCTAACCATTGCAAAGTCTGTATGTAAACTTATCCTATCTAGCTTACTTTTAATTTGGTTTGACAACAGGAGTACCTAAAAATGAAATGTAACACATTTATTGTAGGTAAAATATTTACAATGAGTTATTATGAAAATAATTATTTTCAACTTACATTATTATGAAATTGCAGAGACATGGAAAAAACTTAGATACAGTCAACAATTTAATAAGTAGCCAGAAAAAGCTAAAACTATTACGTATACACATAAAATAATTATAATAGTCACCTATCATGACTTCTTACTATACATTACTGTTTACTCAATGGAATATGATTATATTTAAACATCTTTTACAAAAGAAGTATGAGGTTAAGCAAAAACAGGGACTGTACACATTTTTTCCAAGCTAGAAGTACTTATGTCATTTCGAAATGATACACTGCACATTTGAAACATTAAAAAATGTATACAACAGACATTTAGATTCCTAACGTTTATTCAATGACAACAACATTATAATCTATAATAATTATAGGTATAGTTATGAATGAAAAAGAAAACACTGAGTCACTCTTAACTAATTTATACATTAAATTAGACATCTACCCAAATGTTTGCATGATAAAGGTACCAAAGTATGTACACGTGGAATGCCAAGAGGCAGAAGCAGGTAGCTAATCAATGGATCATGTAACAAGCTTCGATTAGTTCGTAGAAATGACGAACGACGCTGCTCTTCATCTACATATGTATGTCATGCTAGTTTTGAACAACTGTTTAGTGATTGTAAATCAAATCCAGTCAAAAATGGTACTATAATACACCCTTTTAAAACTTTCATTGACTATACACGTCGATATTTTCATTCTGAATAGCCTCCAACTGTATGGAACCCACTTCAATCCTCCACATAGTTTACACAACTGCTTTTAATTGTTGCGTTGATGTACGAGTACACTCTAACTTGATTCAATTGGCAATAAAATTGGCAAAAAATCTTTAATACATAGATTAGTTACGTTCTAGTAAGCTATAATTAATATTTCATCCCTGTTTCCTATCTTTAGACGACCAACCTTGATACTGATTCCTAGGTCCCTAGCTATAAAATACATTCAAATACTTGGTCATTACCGTAACGTAACATCGGTCTATCGATCCACAACCCTACAATTTATAAATTTCTTCACTATTATGTAAACAGTACCCTGCTTGAGGTGTAACTTGTATCCTATTGAATTATGTATTGTCTGCGTGCTTAATTCTGACGGACCCCTGAACTTGAAGCAATACTCTTGAATATTTCGTAACATAAGTAACTGCCTAACAAAGGCATTTATTAATTAATTCAACACATACATTTGTTAAAAATAAATATAATAAATGATGTAGCTGCTCATAATGAGATGTGGGCATTATTATAAGCCAATGAACTCTAAATATAGAAAACATACTGCTAATTTTAAAACAGCCAAAAAACCAATATCGTTTTCTCCGACTCTCCAAGGAACATCGTCAGCTTTCATGCTGTAAGTACTTGAAATAATTTGTATGTATGTACTTACGTGGTATGATTAAAACATTTCTTTTTTAATGATTGATACGTTTAACCAGTCTCTTTGTAAACTTCTAGTATTAAAATGTTCTTTTTGCACCGCCAACCTCATGTTTAAAACAGTTCAGGGTTATTAAATCCCAAAATAATTTACGAAAAATGTTGTTCTATTAATGATTTCATCCGACACACTTCTGTAGGTACTTTCATTATAGAGTAGTGGCGTTTCTTTATTTCTTTGAGACGTTTGAGCTTATTTTTTTAGTATTTTTAAAAATACTAAAAAAATAAAGGCAAAAGACAACTAATTAGACTGAAATCTTGGGAAAACTCACATAAACGTAATTTTATTTTATTATATGTAGGTAGTGTTTAATTGTGGTTATCTGGCTGGACATATTAAAATTGGAAATGTTAACAACAGTAAAGAAACAATTAATTGTAAACATCGGGAAATACACTAATAGTTTTAGCAAAAAGAAAATCAATTTAATATTTAAAAAGGTAGGTACAGTAAGAATTAAATGATAGTTGTCTATATTTTAATATCATTATTTAGTTAGGTACTATTCATACGTTTTTGGCACACTTTACATGTATTACCTATTATTATTATTTTGACCTTATTAAGTATGGATGGCATAACAGTTTCCAATTCTAACAAATGGCCGGTCACACGTCACGTAGTTACGTTTTCAAAATTTAAACTATCTAGGATACTTTTTTATATGATAAGGTAAAAAACAATACAAAAGCCGACCATTGGACGGCGAAATGTTGCTAGTTTAGTATTATAAGCATAGGAGTTATACGGCCATACTTCAATTCCAATCCAATATCGATTTTAGACATACCTAAGTTCTACAGCGTTGTCTGTCAAAAACCTTGTTCGATTAATGATTTTCGAATTAAGATCGCAGTGCGATCGCAATTCAATTTTAAATTAGTAACACTCGTGTCTAGTTGTCTTCTGGTGCATGTAATCTAACAGAAATTCAAATCAAATTGTAAGCATTTCTCCTAGTTCAGGTAAATTATTTTAGCAAACAACCAAAATATTAGGTACCTACCAAAATGTTGCAGCTGAAGGATTTCTTGTATTTACATAACTTTTGTCTTTTCCGAAAGGTAGGTAAATTCCAAAGGGGATATAATATCGTCATTGGTAAATTCAATAAGGACACGCGAGTTGCCCTTGGCCCTTGATAGAACTCATCGATCGATCCTCACCGCTGCACAAGGTGAGAAGGCTTAATACCGGCTCGCTTTGATGACAACAATTTGATTGGATAAAATAGGTAAGATTGTCGTTTTCTCAGAACTGGCAATATTTTTATTTAGAGAAATCTGTAATACGATCCCCCCTCCCCTATCCATCCCCTGCCTCTACAGCGGTGACTTGCAATCAAACGTTTGAAAGACGCGGAGTTTTTTTCTTATCTACAAACAGCATTGTACAATTTGAAAAATATAATATCAAATAAAATGTCAAAGACAAAAGCAATCCACGATCGATTTAATTATTATAATCGACCTTCATCAATATACTTAGCTTTAATGCCAGGTTTTCTTTCAAATTGAAAACGATAATTTGAAAGAAATTGCTGTAGTATTTTGCTCATGATGTAGATTTGAGAAGCTTTGTTAGTTTGAGAAGAAATAGGTCAATTCGATTTTATAATATAAAAAATCTTATGATATCAAATTGGCCTATTTCTTTTTTACCACGTCCTTAATGTTAGCATCGAGAGAACATTAATTACTTATCGGATTTTAAACGATAATTTAGCGGTTTTGAGAATTTCGTTTTAACCAGACATTTTAATAGATCATTTACATTTTCAATACCAACAACCTTCGGGGCATCTAATTCAAATTCCAACAAGCATTATTTACTTTAGGTCCACGTGTGTGCTACACAAATTGACATCATAACAATCACCAATCCAACATAATTCGGAACAATAGGCATCATATTTTAAGAAAACTTTGGAACTGGGAAGGACTTCTCGGTTTTCAACTAAAAAAGACTTGGGTACACTGATGTAAAGTGTGTCTCCATCTACTTTTATATGATATACCTACATGTAGATGTTCTGGAGCCAGACACTATTCTCAAGAGACATTTATCTCACAATATTTTTTTTTTTCAATTACAGTGAATATATTGAAGTAACAACATAGGTAGTCAATGCTACCTATAGTTAAGTAGTCAGTGAATCTGCGCGTTTGCCGTACCTACACACGTAAGTTTAGTTTATCAAAACAAAACCTCATTTTTCCCCTTGTGGTCCCTCAGATAATATTTCATATTGACGCCACGAACTGCCTCAAAAGCATTAACATATTAAATTGATTTTGGGGTTATAAGATTCAATTCAATTCTACATAACTCGATATCCACTTTATTTATACTCATTTTAATTTTTCTCATTGGCAAAATTATTTGATTGATACAAAAGCTAATTTGATTCGTAAATTTGCAGATTTTTTTTTTTTTGTAGGTGCACATTATTTATTTGTATAAGTGTGATTTCTAATGATAAAACCTTAAGCCAAATGAAGCCCAGTTTCCCAACCGCTATCAACATTATTATTAAGTACCAATAGAAACAGTGTTATCTTTAAATACCTGAACTTCAGAACATACACTGTATGGAGAATCTACTTTCCTTGTTTAGCTGTTGAGTTCATAACTTCATACCTACTATACTGTTAACTGGTCATTCTGTTCTGTATTTCTTGTTTTACTTAATTGCCTCAGCAGGCACAGTCTTTCAGTATTTTAGTTATATGATTATAACTTTTAGTCAATGAAGTCTGCCCACACAGTGGGACTTACCAATGTTTAGCCCGCTGCATCAATGTTCACTTACTACATATCACTATCAACATTGTTTTAATTCTGAAACATTTGGTCAAATATACCACCTGCTTCATTTTGAAAACTTAACTAACAATCTTAGGAACAGACATCACAAAGCTTATTCACCAGTTACAGATCTATTTCATTAAGATCTTGCAGTCCACTATGTCTCTTCAAATATTCACTAGTATCATCACAATCCACCTTCCTCCTTTTCCTTGAGTCAAACCTGACTCCTGTCTCCTGAACAACTTTTTCACTATTTTGAATTGCTGAAATTATGTTTTCTTTAGAAGGAGGCACTAGTTGTAACTCGTCTATGTTTTCATTAACTGACGGCTCAACAAGATGCATAACAATGCGTTCTAAACGTTTTGGATGTTCTACTGGTACATCATCATTGGCTGCCACTTCAGTTTGTTGTTTTTCTACATCAATTATAACAGAATATTTTCTTTTCATTTCTTCCATCATTCTACATCCATAATCTTCTCCAATAACACTATTGACACAAACAAAACTCTGAACTTTCTTCGTGGCTCTATCTATTTCCAAAAATCCTCGTGTTCTCATGTATATAAAATGTCCAGACCGCGACATTAGTCGGTAGTAGGACTCACCAAATTCTCTACTTTCATCATACATTTGGCGTAGCACACAAATCACCCAGCGAACATCATCCTTGTGCATGAATACAAAGGCTGATGTACCAGTGACTTCTTCTGTCATGTAGCCAATAGCTAATGATATACTTTGATCACACTGTACTATGCGACCATCAATCAAATGTCTTGTCCAGTATTCGGAATAAGCTGTTGGAGGCAGAATCCGAGCTGGCATAGCACTAGACAGTACATGAATCATGCCAATGAAAACTACATCATTTCCACTAGATGAAAATGTTCTATTTGTTCTAACTCTTTGCCTCCTAATAATTTGCTCATCTTGCACACCATTAGAAGTTGCTTTGTCAGAGCGTCTTAAAATGCCATCTATACGACATCGTTCATATCTAGCAGGATCTGAACGTGCACCAGCCCTCATAATGCGGATATGGAAGTTGTGATGGTGTTCAAATAGTCTACTGTCACAGCTTGTTTGAAGTTCTTGAGGATAGATATGATGACGAAGAGTTTCCTTATCATCTGGATGAACATAGTTATACATGTCTTGGCCAAGGAGATCTATATGACAATATCCTAATTTTTCCTGAACATTTGGGGATACAATGAACAAACGACCACGGCATGTGACTCCAAACATAACACCGCCAAACAGGTCAAAAAACTTTAAGAATGAAGAAGACCATGTTTCGATGTGGCCACATTTGATTGTATCACCGAACACATGCTCGTTGCGGAGCTTGTTGGCGGCGAGTCTCAACACGCTCGTCTTATCAACCTTGCGTTGCGAGTGCACTATGTCAGACAACAAGGACATTATTAGACCTATTTGAGTGTTATACTGACTTCGGCGTTGCTTTTCTGCTATGATACGGGACTCCCGGTCACTAGCTTTCGCTGTGGGCATACCAGGAGATTGTGAATCAGAGGAAGAATCACCGCTATGGGTGGCTTGAATCTCATAACCCATCGTCGGCGCTGGCACACCCACTGTTAAGCCAAAGTCCGACGGCGGGGCATGTAAGCCTATTTGGCTCGCCATAGTAGAATGCATTCCAAGATGTGTACTCGGTCCACCTGAAGATGTCATATTCCTGCGACTGATATTGCTGCTCGCAAAACTACGTCCTTGTTGGTATCATTACAATCCAATAACCTTACGTAGATAATTAAATCGTAAATTTATGTTTAAAAACATATTGTCCACTATATTACACGATTGTTATTTATTAGTCAGTATTCACTTTCACTTCACAACAAAATATATATTCTGCTGAAACACAAGATAAGTATTTGTTGTATTTCCGACTTTGTATATGTACGATTCAATTGGACTTGGATTACGGACTATCAATCACAATCACAACAGGCAGCCTAGTGTTACCATCCTGATCTGAAACAGTCGGTCTTGGAAATGTTGCAAACGAAATAATAAACAAGACAAACCAAGGAAACTACATGAAACACGGTCTTTTTATATTTAAAATAAATCGACTAACGATTTAAAACGATTTACATTAGAATTCAGCGCCAAGATAAGAATTAAGAAAGAAATACATTTCGAAAAATATATCCCATAGCATTAAAACACCTAGAACCGGGATGTGTAGAGTAATAATAATATTCGTCTGTCTTTTATTGTTGGCCGTTAGTAAATAGGTATTAAAAAATAATTATTTGTCGTTAGTCTACCCTTAATTTTCTAAAAGGGCAACTATAACGTAATATGTCAAATATAACTAGGTACGTCAAAACTTTTTGATGTCTTGGATGTCTTATTGAAATGTTTTTGCATTGAGATAGAAAATATATAGAGGCGCCGTGTTATTTAAGAAGTATAAATGCTTATACAAATATGAGTGAAATATGAAACAAACTATGAAATATCGTTTTTTTTTCACTCTTTCTAAGGCAATAATTGTATTAGACAAAAGGGACAACAATATTTAAGTTGTTGCTTAATATGGCAACAAATCATTTTGACATTAGCAAAGTTGTAGGTAAGTGCCATGTCCGCCATCTTAAGCGCTCAGAGTACCTGAGTTTCATGGTAGTTGTGCTGTCAAACGGTTGTTTATGTTTTTAATTATTGCGGTTTTCCAGTAAATTACAAAGAACCATTTTTTTAAACTTCGAATACATATAGTGAAAGAAAAAAACCATATGCCTGTGTGTTGTATTGTGCAATGTGGTGCAAAAAAGAACAAAAATCAACCTCAATTGTCTTTGCATAGGTTAGTAAACAGTTTTCATCAAATATTACTTAGAATAATCCACATAGATAGAAAAAATGTTACGGATACTTGAATCTATTGCCAACGTATATATATTAACTTTTATTTCTGTCTGTGAGACAGTTATAATAAAAAATTGTTGTTTACAATAATATGTCAATATGGCATAGTTACGTACCATTCCACAAAAGTATCGATATAATCTCCCATTTAAAATTCAATATATATTATCCTAAATAATCTATTTTAACAATGGATGTTTCCTCAGTATTGTGTAAGGCTAAAGTAAGACGTCAGTATTTTGGTATTGGTTTTAGTTACATAAGTAGAAGTTCAAATTATCATGTTTCATAATTATTCGGGCGCGATTGACAGAGCGGCGTTGGCGGCGATCCCAGTGCGACCACCAAGCGTAATAATAAAAAGTGAGATACATACAATAAGATTGACTTCACTACTTATATATTTTGTGCTAACGTAGTTTCGAAGATATCATTGCTTAATCAGACGCGCTGAAATTGTGCGCGAGCACTTCACAAATTCGCACAGGTCTTGTAAATATATAAAGATAAACATTTAACAAACACATCTTTTTCTATTTCACCATTCCATTAAACGCTGATCATAAACACAGTCCTATTTTTTTAAAAGACGCTTTACGTAGAATTATTTGAATACAAATTCGACTTGAGAAAATTATTAGCCAATCAAGAGACCAAAGTAACCCCGGGTTCCGGGTTCTAGCTAGGCCGACGGCAAAGTAGGAACAGGAGTTGATTTAAGTCAGTAACGGTCTGTCACGAAAAGGGCCGAAGATGACATTAGATGATTTCCCATAAAAAATACCGTTAATCAGCTGGCTAATCCCTTAAACTATACGTAGAACTTTTACTCAAATTGTATCGATACTCGTTAAATACTTAGTCGGCACAACCCTAGCAACGGCAGCCATCTTATGCGAAATTTTGGATTATAGGTATGCACCTTTTTTTCGTAGGTATTTCAAGTCCTTATATTTCCTATGTCAATGTGTTTTTGTAATCCAAACGTCAATGTCAAAAAAATGATACGGGCTTAGGCGTCGTTCACATCATGTCAGATTGTCAGATTTGCCAGATTGTGATTTGCTTTTATAACAAGACAATTAATTAAGTTAGGTACTAGAAGTAGGAGGTGCATTTTCTATAAATATTAAAATTATTTGCTTCTAGTTCGCAGTAGATTTATGCTATGCACTATGTTATAATAGTAGCTACTCTACTTGCAAATAGCAAATATAAGGGAAATAGTGTGAACGTAGCCTAAATTTGCTGAGTTATTGTACGTTTTGGTTTGGCATTGGCAAAATTGGCACCGCACAAAGTTGTAGCACAGTACTTTACCATTTTGACCGGTTTCATTTAAAAATTATATGTAATCAACTTTTTAATGTTATATAGTTTAATAATTAATTCATTTATTTCTTTTATTCATTTATTATAACATGTGACGTAGAAAATTGTATTTTAAGAGTATTATTTGATTAAGGAAAAGTGGTTCTTCAAAAAAATAAACCGGTTTCAACTTTGAAGAAGACTGTTTGTAGTGTTTGTGCAAGCACGAACGAAAATATTTTTGTGTCTTTATAAAATCAACAATGTGGAAGTCATTGACTGTTTTAAATATAATATTGCTTAACTTAGTGATCTCAGAAGATGGTAAGAGTTTTTTTTATATTTTTGTTGAAGATGGGTATTAGAATATTAAGTTTCTTGATCTAGGTACTTCTGTATGCGTACGTAAAAGTATGCAGACCTTTCAATTGCAGTATTATAAGAAAATTGGTATTAACTACCATACTTTAATTTTTAAACAATTGAATTGCATTGGGTTATATCTATACTATACTAATATTATGAAGAGGTAACATTTGTAAGTTTGTATGTAGGGGATAATCTTTGGAACCGCTGGTCGGATTTACAAAATTCTTTCACTGATATAGCTACAATGTTCCTGAATGCCAAGGCTATAAAACATCACGCTAAGATTAAAAGGAGCCGAGCACAAGTAAACCGCAAAAGAGTAGCTAGTAGTAAATTATTTTAATTTATAGTACTGAACTGAGTTGTAAATATGTTCAATTACATTTTTAATAACATACCTACCATAAAAGGTTGTATGTTCAAATTGTAATCAAGTGTCAATTGATTTCATGCAATGGTAATAAATTATTACTTACAGTCGGTGAGACTTGTACATCAAATCAGGCACTAGAAGGTGTTTGCATGGAAGTTTCAAAATGTGAAGCAGCCATTATGTGAGTCCTATGACAGTAACCAGAAATTATTTGTTCTTTACTTTATTGAATACCTACAGAAACAGGCAAGTTAAAAAAACATCTCTACATTTCCAGAGCAATATCAAACAAGAAATTTCATGAATTTAAAAGATGTGGTTTTAGCGGATTTGAAGAAGTGGTCTGTTGTCCTCGCACTACAACTAAATTTGGTGAGATTGATGATATACACATTTTAAAAAAACAGACTAAATAGTATTGATTTTTCAAACTCGTGTTTGTCTTGCTTATGCAGTTTATTTTCATTAGACTGTTTATTTTACAGGAGGAGATGAAACACGGACAAAAGCAAAGAGAATTGCTGATAGAGGTGACACCTGTACATTAACAAAATTAATTTTAGCACTTTTAATATTACTGTATTTTTAATATTACATAATATAATATGCCACACTATAAGTCATTAAATGGTTATTTAACCTTTCAGTAGTGGTAATTCCAGATATATTAGAAATACTAGTAACATAAATATGCTTGGGGTTAAATGAATTCACCCCTATGCCTAGCAATTGTTTTCGGAACAAAATAATTGTAGAAAAGTTTTTAGTAAAATACAATGTTTCTGAGTCCTTCTCTCAACTCAAGCATAATATCAGACACCTTCTTACATTGCTAAAATACTTTTTGATTGTGGACTTATTAAAAAAAAACAATTATTGTAATATTATTTTATATTTAGAATTATTGAAATGGTTTTTTTTTATTTTTCAGAATGCCAGAAAATCAAAGATTCCAGCATTCCACCATTAGATTTACATATTTTGGGTGGTGAAACTGCATCATTGGGAGAATTTCCGCATATGGTAAATCTTTTTAATTATATTATTATTTATTGCATAGTTACATAATTATAGTTGTTGTTTGTGCAATCAGAAATTACTGATCAATTCTCATTTCAAAGAACTTGTTTCCTGTTAGAAAATTTTATTTTATAGTGATTTGAGTGGAAATCTATGCTTGTAACATAGCTATTGGGGTTTTTTTAATGATGAATGTTTCTGTGAACTTACTTGTAGTGACTCAATTCTGTTCTGTGTGTTGTGTGCGTCTAAATTGTGGCAGTGTTATTGAGAGAATTCATTACCTTACTACACATTTATTGTGAAGAGTTTTACCTGTAATATCTATGTCAATCCAGTATTTTCCTTATTTACCTGATTCATTATCCTTTTTTTAAATAAATATAAATTTTCAGTTGCTAGCATGACTGTTAAAAATATAAAAATATTTTAAAACGCTTGCTTTCCGTCAGTTAGGGTTTGCACCATCCTAATCTTTATTTATCTGATAGGAGAGCAAACGAGCAGACGGATTACCTGATGGTAAGCAATCGGCGCCGCCCATAAATACCCTTAACAACTGAAAAGTTACTAGTGCGTTGCCGATTTTTCGGGGATTAGGGTTTTGGAGATTTATGGATTGGGGAGTGGAAGGATTTGGCTTCCGGTTGTTTTACGTCGGTTTTCTTGAGGTACGGACTTCAGTTGAGCCGACCCATTCGTGCCGAATCTCCGTACATATCTCTCACACTTAACATTATTTTTAATATTATTTATCTCTATTATATATTGAATTCTTAACTACTATTACTAGTCACTTTTAAAATAACAGTTAAGCTAAAAATGCGACGAAACTACATGTTGTCAAGATTAGCAATCTTGACAACATGTAGTTTCGTCGAACATTTGGCCCGTTTGAAATTTGAAACTTGTCAAGATACTTCGAACGATTTCCGTCACACAATTAAGCTAAATTTATCACAATTGATAAAAAAATATTTTTTATCGTAACAATAAAAAAATATTTATTGTTTGGTAAGTATAGAAATT